TAGGACGTTACATTCATCAACATCTGAACACTTCCTTGCAGGATTTTCAGGCTCCTGCACAAACTTAATATAATCAACAAGACTTTTTGTAAAGAACCTCAGTAGCTTAATGATATCTATTCAGACTGAGTTCCTAAGAATTGAACATATTTTCATGTGTGCAGTCGGATTATGTTATGTTCCTTGCTTTGTGCTCTGTTACTGTATCATGTTCGATGCCACATAACTCTGTGTGTGTGTGTGCGTGTGTGTGTGTGTGTTTATTTTTTTTAGATGATATATTCTGTGTTGAGGTTGTTCCTGTTGAGACTGGGAAAAATTACACTTTCAAGTCTTACGCATCAAGAACACCTGAGAGCATTCTGTGGAAATACAACAAGAACAAAGTGGTTGAGTATGAAAATAATGAAAATTATGGGTATCGATTTGAAGATCGAGCAGATCTTAATATTAAAACTGGAGACTTCACACTTAAGCAGCTGAGTAAAGAGGACAGTGGTCATTATGAGTCTGAAATCCAGGTGGATGGAAAACTACAGTATTCCAACCATGAGATTAAAGTGCTGGGTAAGTGAGTCATGTTTTAAGATCTGATTTTTGTAGAAATGTCATAGATTTCTAACGTCTGGAAAGATATTTAGTGAACTAGCGAACAGTGGAATTAATTTCTATTAACATTGTTATTTTCTGCAGGTGGAGTCCTGTCATTGCCATGTCTTGTACAGTTCCCTTCATTGCTGTTCTGATCGCTGCTCTTCTAGCTCTGCTCTACTGCAGTTGCTGGACTGGGAACACACCAGAAAGCATTTCTCTCTGTGAACAACACATACATTCTAACCAGTTGTACAGAGAATGTTACATTTTAAAACACAGTCTGCTGTTAACATAATTCCCTAATTAAGTAAGTTGTGTTTGTAGTAAGATTGAAAAATCTTATTAGATGACATAGCAGCTGTTTTCATTGTGTGAGCACTTCATAATGAATAGGCCAAACAGAAATGCTCCAAATTTACTGCTAATAAAACCTTGCATTAAAACTCTGCATTAACTTATATGAACTGATTAAGAATATTTTGCCTTCTTCTGTAAAATTTGTTTGTTTATTTATTTATTTATTTTTTTGACTGCAATGATGAAGGGTGATAAGTAGACAACAGAAACAATCAAGGGCTCAACACACATCAACACACAAAGATCAGTACGGGTGAAATGGCAGGGTTTACTGACACACATCTCAATTTTTTTTAATTCAATGTTTTAATGAATTTCCACATAATTTGCACTCATTGCCTTTAATTAAAATGTGCAGTTTGTTGTGAGTACTGTACACTCACATCAGCAAATAAACATCTGCGTTATGTTTGAGACAGATATCTGTTTGAAATTCTCAGTTATTTATATATATATATATATATATATATATATATATATATATATATATATATATATGTATATATTTGTTCAAACAAACCAATAGTGGTCACTTTTATTTATATAACAATTATTTAAAAGACAACAGTGTCAGACAAAATGCTGCACAACTACAATGAAAACACACCAACATCATGGTTGTGGTGTGACCGTCACATGATCTCCCACAGAATTCTGGAAGATGGAGTCCATGGAAGAGGCAGGGTTGGAGGGATGCGTGACAAGACCCATGAACACTCAAAGAACCATTTGAGTGATTCCAATTCAATTTAGTTATTCTTTCTTTCTTTCTTTATCATTTATTTAATTTATTATATTTATTTATCCTTTGTAAATGTGTTTAGGTAAACACATTTTACAGCAATGTCATTAATAAAGTTGGTTATGTCCAGTAATGCACAAGACATTTGGATTAAGATTAATGACCAATCTTGAAATCAGTATAGTAGAAAATAACTGAACACACACACTACATTTATTTCTCTGCTTCTCTCCTTTTAAGAATATTTTTTCCTTTTAAAGATTCTCTTCAGTTGTGCACTTGCTATGAGGATCCTTTCTTCGGTTTAAAAGACCTCATTTTCACATCACTGAGAAAGACTGAATTTGAGGGTATGTGAGCTTATATTTCATGATCAATGTTCACCATAAATACAAAAGACACTGAACAAAACTCTTTTGAAATAAACTAGCTAGTGTAGAGATGTTAATCTTACTGTGAGTGGAGATTCTGTCTGTTCACCGTTGAATGTCTGTCTCCACCTGGAGCAATTTAGAATTAGAAATAGAACAGCGTTCAGCTTCTCCTGGCAGTTCATCAGCTTTATAACAGCAGGAATTATGATTATATTTTATTATACAAGCCAGACCGCTGTAATTAATCTAGTACAGTGTAAGGAAGTACATTTTCAAAATTATTTCATATTAGCCACAGTGATTTAAGTTTTTTCATCTTGTTTATAACATTAGTCCTGGTTTATTTTTTCAAAAAAAGGCTACATGCATTAAAAACTGTCTGAGCTAGTTAAGTCTTGCATGCAGGACATTAATCTGGGTGGTCCAAGGGTGGTCCAGTGGCATACAGTTAGCGATGTGCTGACTTTATCAAACTAGTGGACCAATAAATTAGGGGTGTAACGATTCAATCTACTATTAGTGTTTCAAATTATTGGCTATTTAATAAAACCCAGAATTTTTATCCTCGTTTTTTTCTTATTCAACCCCCCACCTCAGTGAAAAAACAAAAAAAAAAGAAAAACAAAAGAGATCGGATACAACAAAGGAGAACCCGAACCATGGCTCAGGAATTGAGGTGTGAACCAAAACATGGATTTGAATCATTACACCCCTACAATAAATGCTTGTCATCTGGGGTATAACTCAATTTATCAATCCCTGGTAATTATTCTTTAATTCTCTTAAGATTTTAATTTTATTCTTCAAGCCAGTACAGACTGTAGTGGCCAATGAGTTTTCACTGATATCCAGATACAGTCATTAAATCAGGAAATTTATTTCTAACATAAAAATATATTTAAAAAAAAATACAAAAATGAAGAATATATTTCTAAGATAACACTTCACCAAAAAAGGGGAGAGGAATAGAAATAATTTCTTGGGAAGTGAAGGGGACCTCTATAAATGCATGTTTTGTACTGTAAAATGTCCTTTTAAAGACAAAAAGTAGTGCTGACTTGGTGTGAATGTTTCTACCGAGCACTTTTAATTGCTGAGCAAGTCGTTCTCTGGCTTTGGGCTCTTATGAAACACTGAGAACAGATGTGAACATCTTTCACGACAAGGGGAAGTGTTCTTCCTGCAAAAGCAAATTGTGAAAACGCTGAAAAAGGCACAGTCACACCTGGGAGCTCTTACTGTTTTTAACTCTTTCTGCTGTGGGTTAGTCTCAGTATTTGATTTGTTAACTGTTCATAATGTCAGTGAGTGAGTTCAGAGTTTCTTATCAACTATTTTACTGAGAGTCGTGAGTCTCAACCTGTTATATATAATGTTGATGATTTTCAAAGATGTGTAGGTATAAAATGGACTTAATATTTCCAAAGTCAGCTCTGGAGACCCCATGCTCTGCACATTCATGTGTTTTCCCTACTCCACACACCTGACCCAGACTATGAGAAGCTTGTTCATTAGTTAATGAGTTGAATCAGGTGATCGATGAAACAACAATACACAAAAACGTGCAGTGTGGAGTCACCAGGACTGGGCTTGGGAACCCCTAAACTGCAGGATTCCTACTGAAACTGAAGGTCCTGCAGGAACAGTGTGAAGGATATGTGAAAGCTGTAACAGCTATTCTTAGATTTACTTTTACACTTTTCTAGAGGAAACTGACATTTGAACATACCTGAATATACTGGAATTCTACAGGTTTTCCAGTGGTTTTACAGCAGGATTTTGTGGAGTAGATGGAAATAGTGAAAAATAATAAATCTGTTTTAATCTGTTCAAGATCCTTAACATGTTTAATTCAATTGTTCAATTTGTAAAACAAGAGAAAAAATCAGAACAGAATCAGACTTTATTGGAAGTATGTTTACACACAATGGAATTTGTCTCCAGTCACACAGTAGCTGACAATAAAGAGCAGCTACAACAGAAATTTTACACCTATGCAGTCATGTCACACCTCGTCCTGACATGGCTGAGCCTACAGCTAACTCTGCCGCTCAGGACTACGTTTCCCAGAATCCCTCGCTGCAGCAGATGACACAGAACTCTCAGAGATCCACCTATCCCTGTTTGTAGAGTGTCTGAGTATCTGTTTGTGTTCACCGACTGTGAGTCTGGATTGCCCTTTTGACAGAAAAGTTTTGAACTCAATCCTCTGCTGCGAGCGTCCGGTTCCGTCTGCCACCATTACAAGTCACAAAAACATAAATATCTGAATTCAACAAAGCATACACACCATCACACAGACACACACATATATATAGTTAATACACAAATTTTAAAAATATAGCCGCAAGCTGCAATGCGGAGGGCCCAAGCAAAAATCAGCTCAATGAGGTCTAATGCGCCAGACAGGGGTCTTTTTCACAGATAGAAGATAAAAAATAGAGAGTCAGAGTTCCAGGGGCTGCACCAGAGCAGAGTGAGTAAGAAGCATCTGAAATTTCCACAGTGGTGGTGATAATTCAAGTGAAACATACTTTCACAAGTTATGTGAAAATAAGGTAAAAAATACCTTCGCTATAATTCAACAACACTACATGCTAAGTAAGCCCACCAAACTAGCAATAATGAAAAAAAAAACAAACTAACTAATTTTAGCTTACTTTTATGATCAACAAAGTGTTCTCAGCAGTTTTTCCTTGCAGTTTTCTCTGCAAATTTTTTTTGGATAAATCCTTTTTAAAGGCCAACTGAATCAGCTGGGCTCTGTGTTTGTGAATTTTACTGCCCCTGTGTACAGAAAATACATTCTTCAGAGTAGAAAGGAGTTCTTGAACATTGCCGTAGAGGCTCCTAATGTCAGTGAGTGTGTGAATGCAGTCAGTATACAGGGCACTGCCTGAGTAGAGCTGACTTGCTGTGCGTGCTTCTCTGCTGTGGTCTCTTATGGGAGGAGAATATAGTTCAGTGGTAACATCTCTGAAGGGGAAGTGTTCTTTCTGCAAAACCAAAGTGTGTGTTCTGAAAATGGAGAGGCACAGTCATGCCCGGGAGCTCCTAATATTTTTATTTTTTTTTTCTGTGGGTAAGTCAAATACTCAATGTTCACATTATTAACTGTTCATAATGTCAGTGAGTGAGTTCAGATTATCCTGTAGCTGCAGTTAACATGCTGCTGAGTCTTAACCTATTATATATAATGTTGATGACTTTCAAAGAGGTGCAGGTATAAAAATAGTACTTCCAAAGTTAATTCTTATTCTAAGTTAAAATTAGCAAGAAATGGGTAAGAGTAGAAAAATTACTGTGTCAAAAGCTTTGTCCAAAAAGTGGACGCATGGGGTCAAACATATAGTTTAGTGAAAGTCAAAACGTATCTACATTTAGACAAATTAAGAATGTAAATTACAAGTCAATGTTTTGAAAAACAAAAGCTTTCTTTCTTTGGTGGTCTGTGTCTAACGAATTGGTGGTACTAATCTTACTCCAAAGACAAAGTTGCATAGCTGTGGGCAGAAAATGTAAGGAGTAAAAAAAAGATGTTTTTTTTTTTTTTTTCACTCCTATTCAACTCCTGTTTTACTCCTACTTATAATACTGAAGCATAGTAACAAAGTATAAATATTACCATAGATGTATGATTATCACTCAAGTATTTTCCACCTCAGGAAGTGAGTGTCTGTTCTCTAATGAACTAATGTTTTGAATTTCTATGTTTGTCATGTACAGAGAAAAAAGTGTAAAAATGTCATTTATTTCCAATGTTACTAGATGTACTTCAATAGAGGTTCTCATTCCCAGCCCTGGAGACCCCGTGCTCTGCACATTTTCGTGTTTTAATGAGTTGAATCAGGTGTGCTCCATGAGACAAAAATGCACAAAAACGTGCAGAGTGTGAGGTCACCAGGACCAGATTTGGAAACCCCTAAACTTTTTGTTGGATATTTTCTCTTTTGTCCCCTTCTGACCCCAACTGCACCTCGTTGAACCAGAGGCCCCAAATGTCAGTGACACAGGGCTTTGCCTCCAAAATGCTGGAATAACCTTGAACAAGTTTTTCAGGGTCAGTTTTTCATATCAGTCCTTATTAGCTGAGGTGGTACAAAATGGTGAGCAACAGCAAACTGAGCCTTCAACCTAACTTTCTCTGTTGTTCTCATGTAATGGTCTGACAACGTCCAAAAACTTTGGACTGCCCAGATCCAAAGCACATAAGCCAGCACTGATGGCTCTTAGTCCAAGCATAGGATAATAAACATTTATCAGGACGGTTTAATGAGACACCTTCTTAGATGTTTCAGTGATATTAAAAATGGAAACAGTCAGAAACCTCTTAAAACTCTCTGTACAGGTCAGTGTGTCAGGTGTTCTAACAGTTTATTCTACCCATCAAGTGGTCCTACTGAGCATACACAGATCATTAGTATAGTGCAGTAACTCAGTGTTTTCAGTAGCATGCTTCCAGGTGGTAAAACCAGTCCTGGTAAAAATGAAATGATGCAAGCGTATGTTGTTTGTAGCATACTAACTTTAGAGTTCATCAAAAGTCCTTCAGTGAAGATATTTTTAAATTTTGTACACATTGACATTTTGACATAGTATACTCTGCTCTGTAGCGCCTCCTGAAGGCCAATCTGGGTCAAATTTTGAATGCATCATCTGAATCTCATTTGATATAAGTGGTTTAAGTTTTGAGATGATGAGACTGTTTTGAGCATTAGTAGTTTAAGTCAGAATTGCCAAAGCTGCAGTGATCTGTCCTGAAATCATGTAAGAAATGTAATTGATTAAAATGGTGGAAAATAGAGTAGTGCCCCCAAAGGTCAGTTCTTGTAAAACTTCGTAAAGAGACATACCATTCAAGTTTCATAATGATTGGTCACTGTTAAGCTTGTCAAAGACCTACTGGAAACTGATTGGTTTTCCATTTATCAGGTCAGTCTTGAAAACTCTCTCATAAGTAAGCTCAAAGATGCAGCATGCCACATTTCAGCTTGATCAGATGTACAGACTCTGGGAAACAGTTATTTTGCTTTACTAGAGCTCCTGAGTGACATACTTTGGCCAAAATTGACAGACGACCTCAGAAGCTTTTGAGACATAATCAGCCTTTAAGACCTCTCTACTTTCATTAAAATCACACGGAGCTTTCATGAGTTACAGCTGTTTTAGTTAACAGTGCTCTAATCCAGAAGGATTGATTAACATGCCTTGTTGTAAACAACTGTCAATACTGAAAATAACTGAGGTTCAGGCAATTGCAAACAAATCCATACCAGTTTTGTGAACATTGAATGAAAAACCAAGTTCGCTTGAGTAGGTTTTGCAAAAAATGCAAAATATTGCAAAGTTTTTCCAGGGGGCCATTTTGAGTTTTTGATTAGGTTTGGTTTAGTTTGAACTGAAAATAAGCAGTACACAAAATGATGTCTGTAAGCCTCACAGTGTAAGACATATAAGCTAAAACATAAACACTATGCTGTAGCGCCCCCTTCAGGCCAGATTGGGCTAATCTCGTGTGTCTGAGTAGCGGGAGTGACTATAGCCTGTTGACCACATTTCCTGTCTGTAGGCCTTACGGTTTGGTCTGCACAATCCATTTTAAAGCAGAATATTTATTATCTAAGCAAATCTGAGCAAAAACAACAGAGATTCAGCACCTGTGGCTTGTGGACACCTAATAAAAATGAGTGCACAGTATTTGCATAAGGTAATAACTAACAGAAATGAAGAAGGTAAGCAACGTTGGCTAAAATAAAATAAAATAATGCTATATGCGATAATATTCATGAGCGCAAACCAAATTTAGATCAAAATGTAATCATCTGATAAGAATTACAATTGGTGTATTTCATTTTAGTTAATGTGTTAATGTCATAACATAGGCCTGTATTCTTACTGCAGCGTTCACTTTTCAGTTTTCATGTGCCCAAAAAAATATACTTTTAGTCTTGATAGTTCGCTTGTAGTTTTGTAGTAAATTATGGGCACTTGGTTGCAGTAAAATTAAAGTAAATATTTTACAGTAACATTACTGTAATTGTAATATGGGACATCATTCTAAATGTACAATACTGTGATGCCCAACTAGCTGTAGAATTACAATGTGACATGACATCTACACTGTATAAATTTACAGTATGTAACTGTAAGATCATAGCTGTATCATCTTTTAATCTGGTAACTAGTAATGTAATTTTACTGCAACTCCGTTGCAAGTAAGTCACTACAAATGTACAAGTTTGAATTGTACTGTGAAATCCTCTGAAAAAGGACAAATGTGTACCTGTGTATTTGTTTTGTAAAAGTTCTGTAGGACGTTACATTCATCTACATCTGAACACTTGCGGGATTTTCAGACACCCGCACAAACTTATTATAACCTGCAAGACTTTTTGTAAGGAACCTCAGTAGCTTATTGAAATCTATTCTGAACTATTTTATGTTTGTTTAATTATTGATGCCAGCCCCTAAAAAATTGACCCTATTTTCATGTGTCAGATTATAACAATGGGTAGAGTTATAGGCTCCCTGTTATGTTCCTTGCTTTGTGCTGTGATCTTGTACCATGTTCTATGCCACATAACTCTTAGTCTGTGTGTGTATGTGTGTGTGTGTATGTGTGTGTGTGTATGTGTGTGTGTGTGTGTGTGTGTGTGTATGTGTGTGTGTGTGTGTTATGCCGGTCCATATGAAATTTAAATTTGAGATACACTCTTGTGCTCAAATGTATGCTAATAAGTCAGTCATGTGCAGTGCAGTAGGCCTGTAAACAGTCTGTAGGATTAGCCTGCCTGCTCTGTTCATTACTTTGTACTATGATATTGTGACACAGCCTATTTTCTGCTCCATAACTTCATTTATTTCTTTTTTAGGTCATGTATTTTGTGTTGAGGTTGTTCCTGTTGAGACTGGGGGAACTTGCACTTTCAAGTCTTCTGCATCAGGAACACCTCAGACCATTCTGTGGAAATTCAATAAGATGAAAGTGGTTGAGTATGAAAATAATGAGTTTACTTGGTATAGATTTGAAAGTCGAGCAGATCTTGATATTCAAACTGGAGACTTCACACTTAAGCAGCTGAGTAAAGAGGACAGTGGTCATTATGAGTCTGAAATCCAGGTGGATGGAAAACTACAGTATTCCAACCATGAGATTAAAGTGCTGGGTAAGTTAGTCATGTTTTAAGATCTGATTTTGGTAGGAATGTTATAGATTTCTCATGTGTGGAAAGATATCCAGGGCTCAAGTTGAACTATGAGCTGGACTTCTACTGGACTTCACTATGTCTTGGAAAAGTACACGAGTTAAAGAGGAGAACTAATTTACGATATTCTTTCTTCTTGGTCATAATTTCTTCTTAGAGGGTGATTTATTAGGTTTTACTTAACAAGAATACATTCTACCTTCAGATGCAGTTCCAGTACCAGAAGTGACCTGTCATGCAAACTGTACAGTAGCGACACTCCTGTGTTCAGTGGGCTCTTCAGTTCAGGCAGAGCTTATATGGAGTGGCCCAAATGGATTTGAAGAAACGGGAGAGAGAATCAGCGTCTCCCCCAAAGAACAATCAGTCTACATCTGCACCGCACAAAATGAAGTGAGCAAGAAGAGCACAGAGTTCTCTCAGCAGAAATGTCTCACAGGTTTGTTTGTTTGTTTTGTTTTTTTTATACACACAGACACACACACACATTCAATCCAATGGTATGGTAACACAATAACAAGTGTACACTGAATAATTTGTATTGAATTTGGTTAATTCATCAGTTATTACAGTTGATATTTTCTCCAAGTGGAGTTCCTGCTGTTGCCACGTCTCTTACAGTTCTTTATACCATATTATTCATTTCACTAGCTCTGCTCTGAATACATATTAGAGACCAAAATCACCAGTGCTGACTGTTAATTTATGTTCCCCCAATATGGGAATTAAATGACCGCAGTTTATGGGTGGATATAGGTGAATTTTCCCTGACCTTATTCCCCAGATCATTCGGCAGAGGTAGGAATAAGTCACTAAGTTGCAAAAAGTAAATCTCAACTCTTGACACTCCGCAGTCAAGTCTCAAATCAAGACATCCGAGTCTCGATTAAAGTCCACAGTTCTAAACTTTGAGTCTTAAATGAGTCAGTATGCATTCCTCAGCAAATTTAATACCATTTCAACACTGAACACCAAAATTAGGTAAATTTACTAGCCTATCTAGCCTATTAATAATAGCGTGTTATTAGTGTATGGTAATATATTAAAGCAACAGCATTTTATTATTAGCTTCTTCTTCTTCTTCTTCTTCTTCTTCTTCTTTTTCTTCTTCTTCTTTTTCTTCTTCTTCTTCTTCTTCTTCTTCTTCTTCTTATTATTATTACACTGCTGGTTTGAATTGAATTTAGACAACAAACAGGAACCAAACGACCGTGCTGAACAAAGCTTACAAAAAAGAGTAAAATGATGGTGAAGTTTGTGCTGGTTTTAACTACAGAAGCAGATCAAATAAACACTATGCTGTAGCGCCCCCTTCAGGCCAGATTGGGCTAATCTTGTGTGTCTGAGTAGTGGGAGTGACTATAGCCTGTTGACCACATTTCATGTCTGTAGGCCTTACGGTTTGGTCTGCACAATCCGTTTTAAAGCAGAACATTTATTATCTAGGCAAATCTGAGCAAAATCAACAGAGATTCAGCACCTGTGGCTTGTGGACACCTAATAAAAATGAGTGCACAAAGTATTTGCATAAGGTAATAACTAACAGAAATGAAGAAGGTAAGCAACGTTGGCTAAAATAAAATAAAATAATGCTATATGCGATAATATTCATGAGTGCAAACCAAATTCAGATCAAAATGTAATCATCTGATAAGAATTACAATTGGTGTATTTCATTTTAGTTAATGTGTTAATGTCATAACATAGGCCTGTATTCTTACTGCAGCGTTCACTTTTCAGTTTTCATGTGCCCAAAAAAAGTACACTTTTAGTCTTGATAGTTCGCTTGTAGTTTTTACAGTAAATTACAGGCACTTGGTTGCAGTAAAATTAAAGTAAATATTTTACAGTAACATTACTGTAATTGTAACATGGTACATTGTTCTAAATATACAATACTGTGATGCCCAACTAGCTGTAGAATTACAATGTGACATAAAATCGACACTGTATGTATTTACAGTATGTAACTGTAAGATCATAGCTGTATCATCTTTTAATCTGGTAACTAGTAATGTAATTTTACTGCAACTCTGTTGCAAGTAAGTCACTACAAATGTATAAGTTTGAATTGTACTGTGAAATCCTCTGAAAAAGGACAAATGTGTATTTGTTTTGTAAAAGTTCTGTAGGACGTTACATTCATCTACATTTGAACACTTGCGGGATTTTCAGACACCCGCACAAACTTATTATAATCTGCAAGACTTTTTGTAAGGAACCTCAGTAGCTTATTGAAATCTGTTCTGAACTATTTCATGTTTGTTTAATTATTGATGCCAGCCCCTAAAAAATTGAACTAATTTTCATATGTGCAGTCGGATTATAACAATGGGTAGAGTTATAGGCTCCCTGTTATGTTCCTTGCTTTGTGCTGTGATCTTGTACCATGTTCTATGCCACATAACTCTTAGTGTGTGTGTGTATGTGTGTGTGTATGTGTGTGTATGTGTGTGTGTGTGTGTGTGTGTGTGTGTGTGTGTGTTATGCCGGTCCATATGAAATTTAAATTTGAGATACACTCTTGTGCTCAAATGTATGCTAATAAGTCAGTCATGTGCAGTGCAGTAGCCCTGTAAACAGTCTGTAGGATTAGCCTGCCTGTTCTGTTCATTACTTTGTACTGTGATATTGTGACACAGCCTATTTTCTGCTCCATAACTTCATTTATTTCTTTTTTAGGTCATGTATTTTGTGCTGAGGTTGTTCCTGTTGAGACTGGGGGAACTTACACTTTCAAGTCTTCTACATCAGGAACACCTGAGAGCATTCTGTGGAAATTCAATAAGATGAAAGTGGTTGAGTATGAAAATAATGAGGTTTCTTGGTATAGATTTGAAGGTCGAGCAAATCTTAATATTCAAACTGGAGACTTCACACTCAAGCAGCTGAGTAAAGAGGACAGTGGTCATTATGAGTCTGAAATCCAGGTGGATGGAAAACTACAGTATTCCAACCATGAGATTAAAGTGCTGGGTAAGTTAGTCATGTTTTAAGATCTGATTTTGGTAGGAATGTTATAGATTTCTCATGTGTGGAAAGATATCCAGGGCTCAAGTTGAACTATGAGCTGGACTTCTACTGGACTTCACTATGTCTTGGAAAAGTACACGAGTTAAAGAGGAGAACTAATTTACGATATTCTTTCTTCTTGGTCATAATTTCTTCTTAGAGGGTAAGTTGCAAAAAGTAAATCTCAACTCTTGACACTCCGCAGTCAAGTCTCAAATCAAGACATCCGAGTCTCGATTAAAGTCCACAGTTCTAAACTTTGAGTCTTAAATGAGTCAGTATGCATTCCTCAGCAAATTTAATACCATTTCAACACTGAACACCAAAATTAGGTAAATTTACTAGCCTATTAATAATAACATGTTATTAGTGTATGGTAATATATTAAATCAACAGCATTTTATTATTAGCTTCTTCTTCTTCTTCTTTTTCTTCTTCTTTTTCTTCCTATTATTATTATTATTATTACACTGCTGGTTTGAATTGAATTTAGACAACAAACAGGAACCAAACGACTGTGCTGAACAAAGCTTACAAAAAAGAGTAAAATGATGGTGAAGTTTGTGCTGGTTTTAACTACAGAAGCAGATCAAATAAACACTATGCTGTAGCGCCCCCTTCAGGCCAGATTGGGCTAATCTTGTGTGTCTGAGTAGTGGGAGTGACTATAGCCTGTTGACCACATTTCATGTCTGTAGGCCTTACGGTTTGGTCTGCACAATCCGTTTTAAAGCAGAACATTTATTATCTAGGCAAATCTGAGCAAAATCAACAGAGATTCAGCACCTGTGGCTTGTGGACACCTAATAAAAATGAGTGTACAAAGTATTTGCATAAGGTAATAACTAACAGAAATGAAGAAGGTAAGCAACATTGGCTAAAATAAAATAAAATAATGCTATATGCAATAATATTCATGAGTGCAAACCAAATTCAGATCAAAATGTAATCATCTGATAAGAATTACAATTGGTGTATTTCATTTTAGTTAATGTGTTAATGTCATAACATAGGCCTGTATTCTTACTGCAGCGTTCACTTTTCAGTTTTCATGTGCCCAAAAAAAGTACACTTTTAGTCTTGATAGTTCGCTTGTAGTTTTTACAGTAAATTACAGGCACTTGGTTGCAGTAAAATTAAAGTAAATATTTTACAGTAACATTACTGTAATTGTAATATGGCACATCATTCTAAATGTACAATACTGTGTGTGACATAAAATCGACACTGTATACATTTACAGTATGTAACCGTAAGATCATAGCTGTATCATCTTTTAATCTGGTAACTAGTAATGTAATTTTACTGCAACTCCGTTGCAAGTAAGTCACTACAAATGTACAAGTTCGAATTGTACTGTGAAATCCTCTGAAAAAGGACAAATGTGTACCTGTGTATTTGTTTTGTAAAAGTTCTGTAGGACGTTACATTCATCTACATCTGAACACTTGCGGGATTTTCAGACACCCGCACAAACTTATTATAACCTGCAAGACTTTTTGTAAGGAACCTCAGTAGCTTATTGAAATCTATTCTGAACTATTTTATGTTTGTTTAATTATTGATGCCAGCCCCTAAAAAATTGACCCTATTTTCATGTGTCGGATTATAACAATGGGTAGAGTTATAGGCTCCCTGTTATGTTCCTGGCTTTGTGCTGTGATCTTGTACCATGTTCTCTGCCACATAACTCTTAGTGTGTGTGTGTATGTGTGTGTGTGTGTGTGTGTGTGTGTGTGTGTGTGTGTTATGCCGGTCCATATGAAATTTAAATTTAAGATACACTCTTGTGCTCAAATGTATGCTAATAAGTCAGTCATGTGCAGTGCAGTAGGCCTGTAAACAGTCTGCAGGATTAGCCTGCCTGCTCTGTTCATTACTTTGTACTGTGATATTGTGACACAGCCTATTTTCTGCTCCATAACTTCATTTTTTCCTTTTTAGGTCATGTATTTTGTGCTGAGGTTGTTCCTGTTGAGACTGGGGGAACTTGCACTTTCAAGTCTTCTGCATCAGGAACACCTCAGACCATTCTGTGGAAATTCAATAAGATGAAAGTGGTTGAGTATGAAAATAATGAGTTTACTTGGTATAGATTTGAAAGTCGAGCTGATCTTGATATTCAAACTGGAGACTTCACACTTAAGCAGCTGAGTAAAGAGGACAGTGGTCATTATGAGTCTGAAATCCAGGTGGATGGAAAACTACAGTATTCCAACCATGAGATTAAAGTGCTGGGTAAGTGAGTCATGTTTTAAGATCTTTTAAGGTTTTACTCTGAATATCATCACTGTTATTTCAAAACTTTGCTTATTTTTCCAATATTTTTACATAATTCAAGTATAGTAGTAGTTTTACCATAGTGTGAACATTTCATATTGAATAGGCTAAACAGAAATGCTCCAAATGTACTGCTAATAAAATCTTGTTGCATTAACTTGATCAAAATTAGGAATATTTTTGCCTTCTTCTGTAAAATTTTCATCATGGAGATACATCTGTTTTTTGTTTGTTGTCTTTTTTAGTTTTGGTTGTTTTTTTAAATCATGATTTTTTTTAAATTCATTGTTTTAATGAATATTTCAAATAATTTTGCTCATTGGCTTAAATTAAAATGTGCAGTTTGTTGTGAGCACTGTACAGTGACTTGAAAACTACCTGGAGTGCTCTGGCTTTCCTTTTACATGACATTATCATCATGTGTAATAATACTTTACAGTAATAAACCTAAATATATGAATTATGTATATTTTTAATATGCAAAGTATCAATATGTAACAAATACACTGTATGAAATGAAATGTGCCTCTGTCTTTTGAAAGCATGCAATAAACATTAAGATACTATTAATATAAATGCTGATGATTTGTTTTAATAAATCAATAAATAAAAAATGTTAAGGAATGAAACTGAAACACTGACAAGGATTTACACTCACATCAGCAAATAAGCATCTGCATTATGTTCGAGACAGATATCTGTTTTTTTAAATTCTGGGTTTTTGGTTTTAAATATCAAATTCAGTATCATTTTTTAGTGCTTTTAACACCAGTCACTGTCACAAAACAGCTTAAAATACATACAGAAGAAGTGAACTCTACAGAAAACTGGAACAAGGGCTCAGGAGAACATAACAGTAGGAGTGGGAATGGAAAAGGAAGAGAACGTCTTCATGCACTGTAAAACTAAAATTAATCTAGTTCATCAGACGTACACTAAGATTAAGATTACACAAATCATCTTTACACAATTTAGATTAGGATACAATCAACAAGCTCCACAAAACAGGAAAACAATGCAAGGTCCATGAAACCGGAGGTGGATTAACTTGGTCATGGGCCCAGGGCCTGTAAACAACTAATAGACTTACATTTATTCAAAACTAATAGACTTTTATTCACCAGTTAGACATTTATAACCAATTAGACATTTATTCAAAACCAATAGTCAAGTCACCTTTATTTCTATAGCACATTAAAAAGACAACAGTGTCAGCACAACAACTGATAAGTGCTGCACAATAACACCAACTGCAATGAAATCATAATTTACCAAGTAAAAAAGAAGAGACTAAAACAAACACCACTAATGACTAGACAAACCTGCACAATTAATTCAACAAGGAAAATGACAAGCAGATAAATCAAGTAAAAAACAGAAGACAAAGGAGAAAAGCTACTGATGGAAGATTGAACAAACCAAGATGGAACAGATAACCGAATACATAATCTTTGAAAGGACTCAAACATCTGAGAAAATAAATAAGTTTTTAAATTTGGCTTAAAAATATCTATTGTTAGTGTGGCTTTATAGAAAATGGGCGACTGTTCCAGAGTCTTGGTCTAGAACACACAACTAAACAATTCTCTCACATAAGAAAGAGTGAAGGCATGCATACTGAGTGGAGGCAAAGAAGTCTCAAAGTGACAGCAGTGCTTATGGAAGTGTTTCCAAAAGACATTTTCAACTAAATCAGTATGTTTAGTCTGCTTCTGGCAGTTTGACAGTTTTTACCTTTTTTTGTAGTTTATTGTGTTTCAAGGTCAGGCCTCTGTTCTTCAGCCAGGTACAATACATTAAGTACAGGTAAGCAGTTTCAGCTGATATGCTTACAATTTATTGTTACTCTGTAATGTTATTAAAAAGTAAAGCAGCTAAGTAAAAGTATTTCATTATAAAATAAACTTAAGTGATAATAAAAGTACTATGATTTAATTCTACTCCAGGTACAGTATCAGGAGTAAATGTAATTCATTGCTTTCCCACCTCTGTTGGAACCACAGTTGACCGCACCTGCTCCAGCTAATTAACTTCAGAAGTCTTTGATTGGCTGGGTGAGATGCTTTACTGTAAGGGAGGGGATAGCATGTTAGGGGGCAGCATGTTAGATGCAGGTATTGGACACATAGATGCATGAAAATTCTGCAGGTAAATAGATCTCCAGGAGCAGAACTGGTGACCACTGGTCTAGTGAAACATCCAACTGGACAGTGTGCACTGTGTGATCAATCTGAGGCAGTAGAACATGTTCTGTTATAGTTCACATGAACATTAAATCACCTGGGGCCAGATTTACAAAAGCTTTCCTAAGAAAATGCTTACAAAGGATCTTAAGACTGCAAACTTCAATAGGCATCATTCACCAAATATTCTTAAAAAGAGATTTCTTCTCAAAGCCCACTTATTCAGTTTTCACGAAGATTCTGACATTCATATTTTCTTATTTGGGATTTGTTCTTAGAACAAAATCAAACCAAATATTCAAAAAATGTAGCAAACAAGAAGTGATGTTGGAGGAAACAGCCAACAGGAAAAATCCGTCTTGGTTTATTGTAACAATATAAAACATACATTTATTAAATATATATAAATATTAAAACAAGCCAACAATATCCAGTTTGGTTGGCTACGTTAGCTTGCTAGGTTAGCTAAGCTAGCTGACTATGTTTAAGTTTTTTTTGAAAATCAAAAATGTAATTTTCAAAGAACAACCTATATCCTTTATTCTTCTTGGTGTCTGTATATTCTTTTATAAATCAGTCTACATCACTGCCTGGGATATGAGGAAGTTCCTCAAGACAACTTGTGAAGTGTCCGCCTTACTTCCATGTTTTGAAAAGACCTGCGGGCTAACCGGATGTGTTTTTACCTGCTTTGCTGCTGTTTCCAGCATCGATGTGTGAAAAGGGCCTATAAAGTGTAAAGACAGACTGCTGCATGTGAGATAACGGTGCTTTAACGCTACACAATAAGTTATTATTTTTAGCTGGTGACGAGCGCTCGGCTACCCCGCTACAAATGACATCACAGTATTCAGACACCAGCTAGCGACGACTGGATTTCTCTATACTATCGTAGTAGTTTAAGGGGTGAACCGCAAAATATCAACACCAGACAAACGGAGTCCTCTTTTCAGGTATGTTTAAACTGAAAGCGGTGCTTCTGTGTCGTGTTTGATCTACAGTATCATCAATTCTCCGTGTTGTGCAGTAACGGAGCGCTGCTTCAAGTTAGCCAGGTGCTAAAAACAGCTAGCCTGGAAAGATAGCGCTCTCCCGCTCGCCAATGCCTCACAGCGTCATCAGTTTACTTTCCTTTAAATCATGACTGTAATTTACATGAACTCACTTCTTTCTTTCACTTTCGTTGCTTGGGAATGCACTCATACTAAAATATGACTGTCCGAGCGCTGCAACAGCGCTGTAGTTGTGAGGATTGTGATTGTGATTTAATGCTGCTAAAGCTGGTTAGGATGTACAGAAAGAGGTGAGTTCACTGTAGGACAGTATCGTTACACCACTGACCTCGTCACTCACACTCGGTCACAGGAGAACAGATCGCCGGTCGCTCCACTCAAACAGGGAATGTATAACTCCGTGTTTCAGCCTTTGCTTAAGACTCATCTTACTCGTGGCCCCCTCCCTCTCTAATCATGTAGAAAAACTCGTTAGTGAGTAGTGTCGCTTTCCATGCAGTAGAAAACGTCACCAAGGCTTTCGCTGAACGTGTGTGAGAATGGTGTATTATATCAAACATTTATCGAACATGTCATATCTCTCTATCGAGGAAAAGTTATATCGCGATAATTATCGTTATCATTTTATCGCCCAGCCCTACCTCAAATACAGGCCAATCTTTATATACTTGCTTTAAATGATGTTAATAAGCTACAAACACTTGTTTAAAAACAGTTTGGTAAAACAGTTTAGATATACTTTATTTACATGTTAAACCTTAAACTGGAACTGCATTATCATCTGTGTAATGTCCCTCTTTCCTGTACTATTCCTTCTTCAAACTCTGGGAGGATGTAATGCAGGGGTGTGTTGTAAAATGTCACTACACAGGTATGTAGAGGTAGCACAGTTATATCTAAGGCTTCCTAACTAAGACAGTTAGAAGTTGCATATCCAAGAATGATGAATCTATGAAAATGAGTTGTTGTCATGCAGCAAAATCAACAGCAAAGGGCTTTTATTCTAACATGCTCTTGGTGGCTCAGAGTCTCAAAGACTGTAAAATGCCAGGTGAGTGTCTTTTCACCACATGCAGTGATAAGGTTTCAGTTAATCTTCTGAGATTATGATTTAGTCCATGATTTTGCTGAATGATGTTCAGCCGTTGATGGTGATGCATTTCATGTATCGTGTTACTTATGTTTGGAAGTTGTTAGGAGGAAACGTGTACAGTGTCACTAAAAAGCTCCTTTTCAAAGGAAGCCCCATTTATTTTAATTTCTGCCACTGCTGATTGTGAACAGGAGGTGTGGCAGAATCCCTGCAGAGAGGGGGACACACCACTGGAGTGACTGAACCTTCACCGAGGGGTGGATGCAATTTTGGCAGGACAAGGAGTCACCATTAAAATCACACAGCTGCTTCACTAGAGGCTAAATGGAAATGGCTCTTCTAAGTCCATTTACTTCTTGATGCAGCGGTATCATGTCAAGGGGAAAATCTGGACATACTTCACATTGTAAATAGTGCTACCTTTAAGATAGGGACTTGGGTAACTCTGAGAGGAGAGCTCATCATAATCTTGCCCTCTCATTCAAGAACTCTCAGAACTGATTGTTCTGCCTGTAGAGGCAAGACGTCTTGGTGTGATTCTGGATGGCCAGTTATCGTTCTCTGCTCATATCGCGAACCTAACTCAGTCACGCAGATTTCTCCTGTACAACATCCGGAGGATCCGACTCTTTCTCACCCGAGAGGCCACCCAGGTGCTAGTTCAGTCTCTTGTCATCTCAAAGCTTGACTACTGCAACTTGCTCTTGGCTGGTCTTCCTATTGTAACAGTTATAGCAATTTTAATCTGATTATAAATATGATTATTATTGCTTAAACTAAAGAGGGAGTCAGAGTAACTTGGATTTAGTTTAAAGTCTACAGACGAATGCAAGGAAGAGACAGACACTCGTGCCGAGGATGCTTCAATCAAAAGTAAACTTTATTGGCTAAATATGACACTACAGTTGGATAACTTGGTTAATAAACAAAAGAAAAGAAATAAACAAACAAAGGAATGGCTCAGGTAATGTAACTTATTTCACAGTGTAAAATGGTATGCAAAGGTGGCTGAGGGCGCTCCTTGGGAAAGTGACTCGAAACTTAAGGACAAAGGATCTATAGGGCAACTTAACCTAAACTAGCATATATCTAAAAGAGAATTCTTATCGAATAATATAGCGTCGAACCTTAACTACACAAATGAAAGATAGCCAGCCTTACTTTGAAGTCGGGAAACAGGACTACAGGTCCTCCGAGATGGGTCGCTTGAGGACCGGCTGGAGCTCCCACGCTGGGCTTTCCTTCACTGGCCCTGGATTCAATGGTG